TTTGTCCACAGAGTGAGCCGAGGGTTTTGCTCATCTCTCAGAACCTAAGATTATGCTTGGGAGTTTAAAATTAAAACTGGGAGGAGGTTTGTTTGAGGCACTGTAACGATGGAGTTGGGAAAATACAGGGAGATTAGACCATCATAGTAACAAAAATGAGTGAGAGCATCTCACTTAACCATCGTTGTGGATGGTTCCTAACCTTGAAAAGCAGAGCAAGTCACGTCATGGTGGAGATGACATGACGTGACCATTTAGGTCTGCTGAGATTTCTTGCGCTTTATGGAGTTTTAACATTAGTCACCAACACAAACACAATTGAGAAGTCCAGTTCAGTTCAGTGACTTGAAAAAGCATCTTTTTCAGAAACATACATTTTTGACTTTAAGTCTTAATAAAATATAAAACAGTTGAGTTACATAGGCATTTACTCCTACATGGTTATCATAAAGAGGAAAATTAAAAACAACATAACAACATAATTTGTAGCAGTTACAGCTTGTAGTTACCGCAGCAATTTCCTAATGTTGTAAACCCGCTCAACATTTGGCAATAAAACCCTTTCTGATTCTGAAAATCTCACCACTAGATGTCAGTAGCTGAAAACGGAATTCTGTTTTCTTATAATGCTAGATACAGTAGCCACTGTATGACAAACAACGGTACCTGGCGTTCATATGTAATAAGTCACTCCGCTCTCTGATACGGGTTGATGAGTCAGTGTTTGTTTCTGTCCAATAGAAAACAAGTGGTTGAGAATATCCTGAACTAGCTAGCAGCTAAATATTAGCTGCTGCTAGCCTAAGCTCTTTAAACTTTTTTTAAAGAGAATAAAACGATAGTATGATGAATTTTAAAAAGTACTTTTATACACGTTTTCATAGCTCAGAACCCTGACTTCAGTTCAGACTTGAGGTGAATAGGAAGACGATGACGTTTTATTCAGATGTTTGTTGTTTCTTTCTGTCTTTCTTCTGTCACATTTTTGCTTACTTGGTAGAGGGGACCTTTTTTAGATGATAGATCAGCGGTCCCCAAACTTTTTTGCGTCACGGACCGGTTTATGCCCGAAAATATTTTCACGGACCGGCCTTTAAGGTGTCACGGATAAATACAACAAAATAAAACTAGTACCGGTACCGAAAAAAAGAAGATTTATTCATAACTCACGTGAAAAGACCCAGGAAAACAGAGTTAACGATAAAAACGATAACAAAATAACGCTGAAAACCGATAAGAACCCTGAAAACCATACATTTCACAGCTGAGCCTCAACTCTCGCGGCCCGGTACCAAACGACTCACGGACTGGTACCGGTCCGAGGCCCGGGGATTGGGGACCGCTGTGATAGATGATAGCAGAATTCATCAAGCTGTTGAAAGATGTAAGTAGACACTAATCGGTGGGTTTTTCTATTAAATAACCTTAAAATCTTACTGACTCAACCTTGAGTCAATTAGTGATGGGTCGGTCGCGAACGAAATGGCTCTTAGAGCCAGCTCCTTATCGCGAGCAGTGTTTTTTTTTCCTTTTCTTTCTCTCAACCTCTCTCTCGCACTTTTTTCCCGCTTCACTCCGCATGCGAGCCTTGTGCTTTACGCTGGGAAGAGGGGGGAGGAGCGGTAGTTACACTCAGTAGCACAGGAACAGAGCAGGAGGGAGAGAGAGAGAAAGAGCCAGGGACAACAACTTCACATTAGAAAGGTATAGTAATCATCCACAACTATTTTCAGTTGCAGATGATAAAGGATTCAGAAAGTTTATTCATACAGGCCCATATGACAGAGAATATCTCAACTCTGCATATTTTTATATATTTTATTTTATTGTTTACTCTATTTAATTTGTAAAATATGTGTATACACACACACACACACACACAGAAAAATATTTAGTATACACATCCAGAAATGCATATACTATTGTATATTGTACATATATTAGTTTCAGATGTAGCCATTCTTGTATTCTGCTTGTTTACGTTATTGTATTTTGCACAACTCTGTTGCTTGTGAAGCTCGCACACAAGAATTTCACTCATATGTACTGTACCAATGTACCTGCACATGTGATGTGACAATAAAAGTGATTTGATTTGATATGCATGTTCTTTTTGTTTTCATATTATAATTTATATTTAATTGTGTTGTGGTTTGTAGTGTTTTGTGTTGTTTCACTTTAAATTTGTAAAAGGAAAAAGCTGAAAATTTAAATAGTTAAAAGTTGAAATGTGAATAGTTAATTTTTGTATTATATGATTTATTTATTACATTTTATGTGGAGTAAATAAAAGTATATTTACGGTGGCCCCTACAGACAAAGCACATACAAACTTCAAAATACGTACGAACGCTGAAGCACGTACAAACTCCAAAACACGTAAAAACTCAAAACAAGTACAAAAGACAACAGAAGTGCTCCAGGATGCTAGGCGCAGTGTTGAGCTTTTGTTACCTAGTGGCTACACAAGCCAGCAAGTACCAACGACTGGATTTGGTATGTGGTAATAACAGGTAAATGAACTTTTTTTTAAAAAATTATTTGACTACATTTTAATGCTTGTGTATAAATACACAAACAATACACATATGCTTTCATGCTTTCAATTGTGTAATTTAGGTGATCTAGGTAGCTCTGTTTTGGAAGTTCAGTTCATGCTAGAAATGTGTTTTGGAGTTTGTACGTGTCTTGTCTCTAGGGGCCACCGCATATATTTATGTATAAACATTTATAAATAAAACCACTTTTTTTACATTAGTAATTCCTTTTGTGCATAATTTTATATTATTGTTAATAATTAATTAATTAAAGCAACAAAACAACCTGAAGAGTCGGTTCAGAGCTGAAAGAGCGCTTTTTAGTGAGCCGAACCGAAAGAGCCGGTTCTCTAAAAAGAGCCGGAAATCCCATCACTAGAGTCAATGACTTTTGGGGGAGCGCGCCCCAAGTGGCCAGTGGGGGAACTGCAAGTTGTGGTACTCCAGCCTGGAAGATTGCCACTTTGCATGGTCCCATTATTGACCCTGATGATTGGCCCAAAACATCTCAGTAATTATTGGACAGATTATCATTTAATTTTCTACATTTAGTCACCAGATGATGAACTCTAATTAGGCTAAAAATCTGAAGTACATTGGTTAAAGTATTTTTGAATTCAATTAAACCATCTTACAAATTACCCAGTTTTAGTGATGATAATCATGGTTCCTAAAGCATCCCACCAACACACACGAAGTCTAAAATTTCCTATAACTCCAGGTTAAACTCTTGCCCGTATACACTGAGTCCTGGTGTTTTCTTCCAGTTTGAAACAAACATCAAAGACAGGGAGCATTAATTCAAACCATTTTTTCCCTATAACTACATGGAGTCACACTCAAGGCCAGGAATCTTCTTTTCCAATCATCTGTCAAAATCCTCATGAAGACATTTTGCTCGAGACGCTCGAGGAAGCATGTCCATATCACAGTCAAGATGCAGACCACACTTCTTAACCACATGCTGAGGCAATGGAAAATAGAACAGCAAGACACTTTTGCATGACTTTAGGCAATTACAACATATACCACAGCTTAATCGCAAAGCTTTATCTAAGGATTGGAAATCATCACAGACGCAGACAGCTACTGACGAAACAGGGAAAAGGCTTGCTGCAAAGGTGTTTCCTCACATGGTCTTTACAAAAAATGTCAGTGGTATGTAGTGGAAGGTCAGTTACTTAATGTGCATGCGTGTTTTCTGATTCTTCATTTTATTCAGAACCCAGTATCATCCTCTGGGTTTCCATTAAAAGCAGCGAAGCAGTGTAGGCTGAGGAGTGTGAATACTACTGCAGGGATTTTAAGCTCAGGAAGGAAACTGAGCACAACACGAGCTACATGTCACGAGTGTGTGAGCTGTGTACGTTTACATCTTTGAAGCAAAATATAAAGAGACTGATCAGAACTGGAACTGAGTGGCTCAGACTGCCTTGGAATAATTAAATGGTACATAGTTCACATGATAGTCTGCAAACTTGAGCACCATCTACTGGTAGTAACAGAACCTCAAGAGGTTCAATCTAGCCTGGAAAGGCAGGAGGAATAAGGGGTATATAAAAAAATAAGCTATTAAATAGTGTATGCATACTAAATGGCAGGATTTAAAGACTGCAATGATTTTGCCTCAGATTAAAGAATGAACGCATGAATCAAATTCAATGTTCTTTTTTTTTTTACTTTAAATAAACCATGAGTTTTGTAGATAAAGATGTGTCCTGCCACACAAACATCAGCAAATAACATGGACAATTTCTGTCTTGGGCAAATTTTGTTTACATTAGTAAAATTAGTATTTTTTCTTTTGTGCTAAAACTGGCCTGCAAAAGGGTTCGATCTGGTTTACTGCATGGTGCTGCGAAGTATAGAAACTGCAAAAAGGGGTATAATTTTTGGAACATGCTATAATGAAAACCTATCAAGACTAAATGCTGGCTAAGGAAGTATTTGTACAGACTCCTGGTCCAGAAAGGCCTGCAGTACTCAGGCAGTGCATGAACAGCTACTGTCCTGGAGATCGGAGCAGTTCATCTTGGTACCCCTGTCCAGTCAGATTTCCACCAGGAACAATCGGATCAAGCATGCCAATAGCCTGGCCTCAGCAGACTTCTGACGACAATGTTTTGTATGCACTTTTGCATATCTGTATTCTGAGACCACTGGCTTAAGAATGCAGTAAATTGAACCAAATATGAGGCGTACATTTCAATTCGGCACACAGTTTACCAGTCCCACTGTTGGCTAAAAACCAGGCAATTGAAACCATAAAGTACTCATTTTGTTAAGAGTGACAAAAACAGACAATTACAAATGAGCAAATTTATAAGCTACAACCTCTGTAGCTTATGAACAGAAACACTGTAAATAAAAGGGTGTCCCATCTGCTGAAACACCTTTAAAATGAAGAGAGAGAGAGAGAAAAAAAAAAAAAAACACCACGGGAAAATAAAGAGACGTGGGAACTTTACAATGTACAAGTTTATTTTTAATGAACTCTTCAGTGGTTGGTAGTCACAGCACAACTTGCATGTATTAAGCCACACACCTATTTTACAAGATGATGGGAGAAAAAAAAAAAGAAAAAATCAAAAAACAAAAAACCCCAAAACAAAACAAAACAAAAGAAGAAAAAAAAAAAGTTGATGGTCAGTCCATCTGCAGTGACTTTGTCTTAAATTCTTTGACTAAAATATCCTTAAAAGGCCACTGAAATGCATAAAATGTTCTCAGATGAATGGAATATTTGATGGTGGCAATTTTGCTTCAACCTGACATCAAGACTCCTCACATGGCATTGACAGTGCATGTAGACATTGTAGAAAGGACTGGGTTAGCAATACCTAAGATACTTTTTTTTCCTTTTTTAAGTGACAACACCTTGGCTATAATACTAGAGCTTTAAAAAAAAAAAAAATGGAAACAAAATTAACAGCACTCTTCCAAGAAACTGAATACAAAGAAAGTGAAATGTAGTGAAGCGATTATTTCTCTTTCTTTTTTTTCTTTTTTTTCAACTTTTACAATTGTGCGAACACTTATTTTAAAACAAAAGCACTGAACACTGCCAGCCGTCCCGTGAACAAGAGAGGCTCTACTGTATTGTATCCAATGTCTTTAGTCTATAAAGGAAAAAAAATAATTATAATAATAATAATAATAATTAAAACACACCTGTTTGTCCTCTGGAATTTTTAATAGTAACAGACGGGAACCATAAATGCATGCCATGTGCTGGTCTCAAACAAATACATACAGGTATATACAGCATCACTCAGTACCTGCTAAAACAAAGTGAGAAATACAGAGTATAAACTGACTACACTACAAACCTAAAAAAAAAAAAAAAAAAAAAAAAGGAGGGGAGGGGGAGAAGGTGAGCGATGGGAGTGGTGGAAGAGTGAAAAATCCTACTTGTGATGGACTCGTCATCATTAAAGCATTTAAAAAAAGAAAATGAAAAAAATGCATATTGCACATACAGTGAAAGCTTAAATTCCACCAGGTCCGCCTCATGTCGCTAAAGCGAGAATCCAAAATTTCCCTCTTGGAGGAAGACACGCAGAGGTACAAAAAAAGAAAAAAAATAATAATAATTTTTGGAGGGGGTGGGAGAACTGTGTGTGCATTAGTGATCTGTGGGTGGAAAGGGGAGAAGGGGGGTGGTAAATAAAGAAAAAAAAATGATGGGGCCACAAGGAGCTGATATTAGGCAGAAGTGGCACTTTGAGGGTTTCGAGGGGAAGTGGAGGGACTGCACAGCACACAACACGTACACGGGAAGAAATGTTACATCAAATAAGAGATTGTGGCACAAATAAAATCAGGTGGTGGATAATATCTGTTCTTCAGAGATAGCCCGGAGTGGGCGGAGGAGCGAGACAGAAGAGACCGATGCAAGTGTGTTTCTTTTTCTCTTTATGTACAACTAAGGCTTACTGGTTAAATAGTTTTCAGGCTTCCCCGCCCACAATGCTTTTACATGCTGATCTCACACACGCGCGCACACACACACACACACACACACACACACACCTTCCTTTTGCTCTGTAAACTCAGTGGTTCTATCAGGACAGCAGCCACACAATCTAGTGGGTTCAATTCGAGGAGGTGCATGGGGAGGGGAGGGATGGATGAACATGATGGGTGGATGCTGCAGTGGTGAAGGAGCAAAAGGGCGATTAAGAGTCGGGAGAAAAACAATGGGAGAGGGGGAAAAAACCCAAAAAAAAAAAAAAAAAAAAAAAAAAAAAAAAAGGGAGTCTTGCCTCCGATGTCTGTTGCAATTAATATCTAAATGTGCAATTCCATTAGTCACTGCCATGGGGGACTAGGGGGGTGCAGAAGATGGGGCGGGTGGGGTCTGTTCTACTTGGAAAGCTTGCTAATGACTCGAATGAGCGCTCCGTTCTCGTCCTTTAGTCTCTGGTTGTCTGCTTTCAAGTCTGGGAGCATCTGAAAGGTGATAAAGGGAAACAGGAGCGAGAGAGTGAGAGAGAGAGCGAGAGAGAGCGAGAGAGAGAGAGAGACAAGGCTTAGACAAGTCTCGCCACGTAAACAGGTTAAAAACCAGCCACGGCGCTTTTTTTTTTTTTTTTTTTTTTTAAACAAACTGTTAACTGCAGACTGTGTAAAGCAATCTCAGGAGTCACACACAGCATCTAACTTTTGGCTGTCCGACTTTGATTAAAGAGGTAAAAACAAAACCCAACATCTTTGTTCCAAGTCAAAAGTAAAAGCGGGCACACAACAGGCCAAAGATTCTGGGAAAGCCATGCAGAATCTAAGTGGCTGCTGCAGGCAGCCTCAAAAATACACACAGCAGAGGGGAAAAAAGTCACATCTGATCAAGTGCAAATCTGTTAAAATGTTTAACGTTAATGTTCCTGACTTAAGGCCATTATACACATGCTCATCGTCTGCAGAAAATTATTCCCTAGCTCAGAATCATGCAGACTTGTTGCCAAATGCAGTGATCTGATTGGTCAGATCTGTTTAAAAATTGCAGTCTGTGTGAACGGCTGCATTAAGAACACGCGAGTCGAAAAACACTCTTTAAACGCACAGATTCCAGCTGATCTCGCCTTCAAAGCTGTCTACTTGTGCACCTCTGCCTCATCTCCAGCACGGCAGCCAGTTTAAGACCACTTCATGAAGATCCTGTTCTGACAACGTACGCCTCAGATTTTATTGAGATTTTTACCCCAAAGTTGTGCAGACAGAAAACACTGATTTCTGTCTCAAACTTTCACAGAGAGGATCATCACTGGCAGTTAAAGCTGCTGGGGCTTCTTGCATCGACTGAAGATGCTACTTCTTTGTGACACTGTCTAACTTTTAATATGGGTTCTTACTGTAGCATAGAGCTGGGCGATAGAACGATAACGATATGTATCGCGATACATATCGTTAGAGAAATTAAGCTATCGCGATAGACTTCGCCGCTCTTGTCCTCAAAAAAAAAAAAAAAAAAAAAAAAAAGTCAGCCAATCCAAATTAAGTAGCGCAGAGCCGAACCAATCACAGCCGCAGTGTCACGTCGCGTGACTTGTTACGTACAGCACAAGTGCCAAGCCACACGTGTGTTTGTTTGGGAAGCAGCCAGCGCGTAATGGAGGGAATGAGTGTGCCGACTAGAAAAATCAACCGAGCGTGACCGAAGAGAAAACAGATGATGGTTGCAATGCCGGAGAGATTGTCGAACGGAAGAGCCATAGAAGTTCCGTAGTGTGAAGGTATTTCGGCTATTTCAAGTCTGACAAAAAAACAGAGTAGCGTGCACTGTAAATTGTGCCGAAAGCAAGTCTGGAAATACAATAAACTGCTGCATGCGTCACACTGTGCGCCACGTTATTGTTTCGGTGAAATGAATTTCTACAATACTTTTACTGTTAATTCTACTCTCTGCAGTGTTTAAATGCTTACATATACACACAGTTACTGTCCGTCCACACATACGACTCGGGTCTGCTTCTATGCCCCAGCTTTGTTTACTTTTTCCCACCGAGGCTTCTAGACTTCTGATTGGCCAACATTTCTGCACGGTTAGGAATCTAGCGCCACCTGCTGCTTTGGCATGTTCATAGCAGCGTTTTCCTTCATTTCTGCCTTTATGTGTGGACGGGATTATTTTTAAAACGAAAACGGAAAATCTCCGTTTTCAAAAATACCCGTGTACGTGTGGACGTAGCCTCAGTCTCTGACTGGAAGCGCTAATTCGTCATTCGGCTTTTGTCAGACTAAAGTAACTGTTAAAACTGTTTGAAAAGCTCAGCTATACAACAAGGAGAGATTGAGAATTTCCTTTTAGTTCTCAGTTTATTTGATATTGACAAAAGTTAGTCAGTTTTGTCTGTTCTTCTGTAAAACAAACTAAGATTTATTTTTAGAATTAATATTTTGTTTCTAAGTGGAATTGACAATTTAGTCTGTTTCGTTTGTTCTATTTTGAAACTTAAACGCTTTAGCGGCTGCCTTTTGTGTAGTTTGCAATATTTGCCTTTATCTATCTGAAAAAGTCTCATGTTCCTTAAGTACATCTACCCTGTTGAACTTATTATGGGAAATAAATATTTAAATAAAAACAAGCTGCTGATTATTTCACATTTTACTTGTGAGCAACGGCACATTTAAATCTTACAAATATAGTTATTTGGCTTATATCGTGATAGATATCGTTATCGCCTGAAATGAAAAAAACATATCGTGATATGAAAAAATCTCATATCGCCCAGCTCTACTGTAGCATGCTGGCAAACAGCCTGAACTGTGGAACGTGTCATCGCGTGCTAATCTTCCAACACCGCTCACTCAGCTTGGTGGCCTGGCTCTTTTTTTTTAAACTCTTCTTCAAAATGCAATGCAACTTCCACATTGCCACGAACACACACACGCAAGTGGTCAGAATGAGATTTTTAGAGAGCGATCTAAAAAGCAGCTGCTCCACAAGCGGTGCAGGGCTGCACAGCGAGATGACCCTGAAGAGGAGGATGTGCCAAATTTAAATCAGGTAAAGTTTTAAATTTGCAACAGGCAGAGATGCAAAACTTTGTGATCACAACTTAAATTTGAGAGTTTAACTTAACTAAAGCCAGATTATGCATCAGTTTCCTCTTCTTTATGACATCTACTGAACTTCAGAACACATTCTTTTAAACATGTGCATATTAATGCATTACAGGCAGCAACACAGAGCTGAATGAGCTGTAGTAAGTAAGCCAGACTTTCTCTTGCCCCATAATTTATAAAATCCTGGAACTGGCTGTCAGATGTAAAGTTTAAATATCTCCCATAAAAGCACAATAAAGACTTGAAAAGTTCCTATTTGGACAGCAGCATGCTTTCAATATGATTAGCTTATTAAATAAAGGACTTAAAAATATTCGTACAAGGGCGTAAGACATGTTCTACAGTGTTTAGAGGAGACTGCCCCAGAGACCTGCTTGATTTCATATAAGGACTGACTGCTTGTTTAACTCATGACACTGAACACACTATATTGTGTACAAGTCCAAGGTAAAACCATACGTGTATGCATTAATCTTAAATATTTGTTGATGTCATTTGGTAAACTCAACAGAAAAGGAGGGGAGGATAAGGTGGGTTTGGTCTCTGAAGGTTTGGGTCCAAAGAGTTGATGCCATAGGAAGCCACTTCATGCAAAGAAGCCAAAACAAGCCAAACAGAACTACTGAGCTCCCCCTGAAGTAATTACCACAAGTAGAAACTTCAAAGAGGACACTTTCCTTCACAGTACAGTCAGACCTGTCAACCCGCAAACACTTACCTGAGCTTTGCTTTATTCCGTTATCATTCAGATGTTATTTGAAATATTTAGGATAATGTTTTAATGCGTTTTAGAGGTGTGGAAACCACCTGACAGGCGTGTACTGCAAAAGGATAGTGTCCTGCTGTGAAAACCAAAGAAAGACACCCTCCCCACTCTGAAAACAAAAAGCTCTGGGGAGGCAGAGGGGGGGCAGAAAGGGTTGTTTTTCAAAACCAGTGATTGCTGGACGGCTGGACACCTGCCTGTCTATGGGTGCGGGGCAGAGCACGAATGGAGCATGAGAAGAATGGGGTTGCAAGGGGGGAGGGGACAAGGAGGAGAAGAAGAAGCAGAAGAGGAAAAAGAGAGAAGAAGAAGCAGGAGATGGTGGTGGACAGACGGACGTGGCTTAGAGGTCGACGGTGGGCAGCTGGCTGCAGGCCGACTGCGAGAGCTTTGCCACCACACGGGCCAGGGCCCGGTTCTCAGCCTGCAGCCGCTCCTTAACCTGGCGTAGGGCCTGAACCTGCTTTACCTGGGGGAGGTTCTGCAGGAGGGAAAAAAGAAAAGAAAAAACCAAACACAACACAGAAAGAACAAAGAAAGAGGAGGAGGGACGGGGCGAGAGTGGCAGGAGAGGAAACATGTTTGAGGAGACAGAAATCAAGAGAGAAAGGATTAATGAAAGACAGGACAATATAAATTAATAGAGAAGAGGGGCCGAGAGAAGGACAAAGGGGGAAAACAGAAAAGGAAGACTGTTAGAAAATGGGGACAGATTTTGGAAATTGAAGGAATGATTAAGAGGTTCAGCTTGATGCTTGTCGACAGAATGGAAAAGTGACACTGATAAGATCGGCCAGCTGGCTAAGCCCTAAAAATAAACACTTTGTTATCACAGTGATGGAGAACACATGCTTGCTACGGTTTAATAGATTTCCTCTTTTCTTAGCTAAAAAACATTTTCCCAAAAAGAAATACTTAATTAATCATCCTTAAATGTTAACAGTGGACAAATATTACAGCAGCTGACCTCAGATGTGCCCTGAAGAGCAGAAGGTGAGATTAGCAGGTGTACAAATGGAGACAGAGGTGGTTAACTGTGCCGGTCCAAATATAAAAACCTAAACACAACTGTGCCTAAGATTAATATACATTTTTAATTATTCATTTAATATGCCAAGAGTGAGGTGTTTTAGTATGAGCGAGACTAAGAAGCTACACAAAGAGGGATGCACTGCGACTAATGTTTAAAGTAACAGCTAACAGTCTAGTTTGACTTTGATATTTTCCCTGTTTTATTTCCAGGGATACAAAAAAAAAATCTTGTGCAAAAATAAAAAATATAAATAAATAAGTATCCTATTTCAAAGTCTGTCATCATTTATCATCCCTATATATGATAAACAAAGCTGGTGACTCCAAGTTACTCTTTTTTTTTTTTTTTTTTTTAAATTACCTGCCATATATTCAAGAAAGAATTGTCAATTTCGATTCATGACTTCTATTAGCTTACAGTGGTTCTCAAAGGCTTCACCAAAGAGTCCTCTGACATATTTGGTAATGTTTAGCTACTTGTCAAGTGATGCTAAGTCTAAACTAGTTAAAAGAGTAAGATTACCTCCCCTGTGTGAGGGGTACCTGGACCCAAATACTCTGAGCGGCAAGTGTAGCAGTGTTACTGTCTGTCAAAATTATCTGATTAGGTATATAATATGCCATTTACAATTTTTTTAATTCAGTATGTGTGTGCTGGGTACCTTAAGTTCCTCCTCCATCTCAGAAATCTTCCTTTCTAGAGCTCTTCTTTCCTGTTGGGTGGAGGAAAGCAGATTAAATCTGAACCACGACACAAAATAAACACTCCAGTGCAGGCATGGAAGGAGAGGTGTAGGAGATGGTCGGGATGTAGTGGTGACAGGGCACGCTTGAACACAAGCTTATCTAGTGAGGCATCTGCAAGCGGCAGCCAGTTCAAACTTATACATTCAATTCATTTAAAGCCGTCTAAAGACTGGAATGAGTCGAGAAACAGGGATGAAGATGTTTAGAAGTTGTGTTTGATGGTTATAGCTAATGAAATGATTCATGGGCAAGGATGTCAAATGTCTTTAAACCCAAAAGACAATCCTATAATGTAAAAGGCGACAAGGAAAGAATGACTTGTATGATGACAAAATGTTGCTTAGATTAAAGCATGGGCTTAAAAATAATGGATGATGTGGCTACAGGAGCTGCAGCTGAAGATGCCAAAGCCATTACAGAAAGGGTGAAAACACACATGCACACGTTTTTATATAACAGCAATTTAACAGCCTGCAATTATTCAACTTTCTACAGAAACTGAGGTAATTTCACACACTTTCACACACTGGAAAAACAAAAATAAGCAGTCTTGAGAAGTGGTGACCACACGCTGCCTCTGAGGTTCAATAAACAGGTGAATAAAGAAGGTTGCAGTGTTCTGGGTGGCGTGGAAGGAGGGCGGGCTTCCCTTTGACCCTCAGCTACGTGAGAGACGACAGCCAGCAGCAAAGAGGAGACTAACACAAAAACTCAGGGTAAGATCATACCACCACCCAGATGATATTGGGGCCTGCTTGTTACCTTCAGACATAAACCCATTGGGGCAGTGTTACTGGGATGTTTAACCAAAGTAACTGAAATAAACTATATTTAGTCTGAGACACACAAGTTATACATGTTTTTAGTAAATGTGTTAATTTAAAATAAAATAAAAAAAGGGACATTTGCAACAGAAGTGGGTTATTACACTAGCTCATTACCCTTTTCTCCATCTCAAGCTGTGATCGGTCAGCGTAGCGTTCCTGCCTCTGCAATGGGAAACAAAACTGTGTCAGAAACCTTTACAATCCCATCAGGATGTTTAGCCATCCCATGAAGTGCTTCTCTATACCTGTGTGGCCTTCTCTAGTTGTAACTTCAAGTCTGCCAGCTCCAGGTCTGTGTCACGTAACTGAGCCTTCAACTTCTCGTTGTCAGCTAATGTTTGCTCGTAGAGCTGAAGAGAGGACCAATCAGATCCAACAGTCAGAAAGTGCAGCAGTCAAACTATTTATAATCAAAGATTTGTTGAGACTGGCCTACCCACTGAGAAATGGGGCACATACATAAGCTTTGGTTTGCATTTTTAGCTTGTTTTTCTGTTTAGTTTTAAGCTTTTAAAAAAAGTTTGTTTACAAAACCAAACCTCAGAGACGCGCAGACATCCCAGACTCAAATATGCACAAAGACCCTGCTAAAGCTCACTGTGTTAAACATATTCCTTTGTGTTTCCAAAGCAAAAACCTGTGTTACATTTATTTTTATTCTTGTTTAGTCAGTTAACTAAAATGCATTTTTACATAATTCATTTTACTTTTAATTAGAATAAATTTGGGCTTGAGGCAAGGTTTTATTACTCTACCATCTGCCGGTTTAGGCAATTACAAATTAAAAAGGAAGCCTATGTTTTGTTAATTGGTGCATGTGCAGTGCCATTGATACTTTACAATACTTGCACAAGACAACAATGCTCGGTCCTACTTATGTTGGACCTAACATCGGTTTTTGACACTGTTGACCACCACATCCTCCTTGAAAGGCTTAAACACTGGGTTGGTGTATCTGGAACTGCCTTAGAGTGATTCTCCTCATATCTACATCACCGATATTTTTCTGTGGTGGTCTTCGATTTTAGGTCATCCTCAACCTCCCTCACTTGTGGTGTCCCTCAGGGTTCGGTTTTGGGGCCTTTATTGTTCTTAATACATCTTCTTCCCAGCATATAATGGGCTCTTTTGAGGACATTCCTTATCACCGTTATGCTGATGATATTCCGTTGTACATCTCTTTTAAACCCCAGGATTTATCTAAGCTTTAGCTTCTGAATGACTGCTTAGATTCCATCAAATGTTGGAACATTGGTAAAACTGAAGTCCGCATATGCACTCCGGACATATTTTTATCCCAGATAGTGAAAGCCTTGGTCCTCTCTCAGTGTATCTTAAATCCTCTATCGGGAATTTAGGTATCACTTTTGACTCAGGTCTTACATTGGATGGGCATGTGAAATCTCTGGTTCTGTCTTGTTTTTATAATTTAAGAAATGTGGCTAAGTTAAGCCCCATTTTATCTCGCTGTGAACTGGAGATTGCTATACATGCATTTATTTCCTCATGTTTGGACTATTGTAACTCGTTGTTTATGTGTCTAAGCAAAGGTTCTCTGGATCGTCTGCAGGTTGTGCAAAATGCTGCAGCTAGGCTGTTGACAAAATGTGCCAAGTATTCAGTACACTGGCTTCCTGTTGAATTTAGAGTACATTTTAAGATCCTGGTCTTGACATCCAAAGCCTTGCATAGACCGGCACCATCCTACATCTCTGATCTACTACAGCCCTATACCCCTAGCAGGTCCCTGAGGTTATCTGATCAGGGCTTACTTGCTATAAAACAGACTGAGAACTAAGGGTGAAAGAGCTTTTGCCACTGTGGCCCCGAGACTCTGGAACGCTCTCCCTCATAAATTAAGAACCCTGGACTCTGTAGTTGTTTTTAAAAAAAACAACTCAAAACTCACCTTTTTAAAACTGTTTTTGGTTAATTTTTTGCCTGTTTTATATTGTCTGTTTTACTTTTTTAGTATTTGTCATCTTATGTGCAGCACTTTGTGATTCTGTCTAGAAAGGTGCTATAGATATTTTTTATTATTTATTTAACAGTACTGTGCTAAAGTCTTAAGATTATTATTATTACTATTAGGCCTCACTCCTTGGAAGCAAAATGTAAAGAAATGAAGGATGTCTCAAGACTTTTGTACAATACTTTGTTTACGAGTTTGAGTTCTTTTGAAAATAAATACCTTCTTGTAGTCAGTGGCGTCATCTTTATCCAGTCGGCTAGAATACGGCCTTCGACTTTCACCGTAGCTACGGGTAAAAAGAGTGTCATTACGCTCTAAGGATGAAGTGCTCTCATTCCTGCAACAGTAATGACAGGCATTTGTTTAAAACACAAACACACAAACACAAAAAAGGAACATAACATGTTGGAGGGGAAAACCTACCTGAACAATCGGTCACTCTGTAAGAAAGAAAAACAAAAAGTTAGAAAGCAGTTTATTCTGCCATATGATGTTTTCAGTCGCTACACTTGGAAAAAATGCTAAAATACTAGAAGATTCAACTCTGATAGAGGGTTTCAAAATAAAAGAAGAAAAAGAAAAACGAAAACACTAAACAGTAGGATGGAACCAGTTATTTAGACTACAGCACCCGACTTTCACTCCCAGCTGCTCTGCATGCACATACAGACACAGTAACAACTAACAGCTGACAGGCCAGCTATAGCCTTGAGGTGCCTGCACTGTGCCTCTAGGTCTGCTGTGCTTGTGTAGTGCCACAGCCATGAGAATGGAGCCAGACATCAGATAGGAAGGTCAGGTTGAGGGGTTGGTCTTCCAGCTATTTTAAAAATTGCAGTCTCCTTCTGGAGGCAGAGAGAGTGTGGTGACACAACAATGCTACACTCTGGGTTTTCCTGAGAGTGCTTCTGGTGGTGGTGGTGGTGGTGGTGGTGTGAGATAAAAGCTGTAGAGCTAGCTCAACATTATTCAAGGAGCAACTGGAGAAAGACTTTGCAGCTAGCTCAGCTAGCTCTGGCCTTTCTGTTGAGAAGGCATCCTGCTATTTTGGGGAAAAGCTTGGTCACAAGTCTGTCACAGTTTCCTTCAGCTGCTTTCAATTTTCCAAGGACACTTCATGCATTGGTTTGTTTAATTGAAGAGGTACTTAACTTTGAAGACAGACTCTGGAATCAAATTGGCTGTTTTTTGTTTTTAAATGATGTCTTTAGCGTCTTATCTACTGATTAGGAATCAACCAAGCATTTTGTTTCAGTACCAACATTTATCAGGATGACCTTAGATGAGCTTAAACTTAAAAAATATTTGCAAACTCAGCTCAAAATTACATTTTTATGCCTGTAATCAAGAGAGACGAGCTGGAATGAAAGAGTTTTTCCTGTACATTTCTGGATAAGGGCTCCTTTCCGATTTGGTCCACCCTGTTTACTGTCCTACAGGAAGTGATGGTAAATAGCTGTTGTCTCTCTCTCTCATCCCCAGGATCTCTGTACTCAAAGGAAAACTGTGTGTTCTCCATTATGCTTCAAAAGACACTCCCATCCAAACAGGAAGTGCACCCAGCCAACAATATTTTCACAAAGCTGCCCTCTCTGTGGCTTCTAAAGACAGTATGAATGCACTGGATTCCACTGCTTTTTTATGTTTATGTCACCAGAAGCCTTTGGGAAAATTCTTACATGTTATTTCTTGTTCGTTTTAAGCTGAAATTCTGACTTCATTTGTGGAGGGGGGGGGGAGGAAAAAAAAAAAAAAAAAAAAAAAAAAAAAAAAGGGCTCAAATTTAAACTTGGGAAACCTCAGCATGTCATTTAAGTGTGTGTTCTGCCTATAAAAGACCTGCATTTCCTTCCTTTTGTGCTTCTACATGTTTTAAAAGCCCACTGATCTGTTGCCGAGTGAGCCTTTGGTTTGCAAGGTCACCCTCATACACCAGACAATCACCGGAAGGTGGAAAGGGGGAGGACAATAAGAAATTCAAAGGCAGGAGTCCAAAAAAAGAAAAAGAAAAGATAAGCGGTAGGAGAGGAAATCATAGCTGTACAGCACAGAGTAATGAATATCAAAGACTAGTCCACTTCCTTGGCCTTAACTACATGAGATGAGGCGAGGAAGGACCAGAATAGTAAATAAATGCAAAAGATGAAATAGACGTCACGGGATACAAGGAGAAGAGGGATGGAGGCTGGAGGGCTTCTCCTTTAGTCAGTTTAATCTACTTTCTCTCCTATGACCCGAGTTACCTGTGGCTCTCCCTTGGCGTTGCCCTCCTCCGAGTCCGACTGTTGATCGGGGTCATTTTCATCACCCTGGAATTTAAAAAGATATGAAGGTTAGGTGCTGCTTTGGGCCATCCAAATGATCAAAGAAACGTGCACTTCACAAAGAGTGCGATGACCACTTCAAAAACTGAGCTCTAAAGAGAAAGCTTTGCACTGTGTGCAAATCTCTTACATCCTGACTCCAGAAGGACACCCCAGTGGAACGTCTCTTTTCGCGGGGCCGCCTGCGATCCCGTATGGAGCGGGGCTGAGACTTGTCCTCTCCCTCCTTTTCCTCCTCCTTCTTGTCTGCTTCTGCTTTCATTGAGAAGAAAGTCAACAATTATCGGACAGATGATGATTGTGTCACATAAAGAAAACTAGAGAATTACATCCATGGAGGATTTCATCTCTTCTCTTGCAAACATATTATAAATAAATAAATAAATAAATAACCGGATGCATGTTTTTGAACTGTGTGCATCTGTGTGAGAAAACATGCCCTAGCTTGCATACAAAACAAGGACTTTAATGCTGTGAGGTGAAACTGTTACCCTGCCACCCTGCAAGTTTGCAGTCTTCTCTTATTTTGAAAGCTCAGTCCTTAATCAGCTAGCTCTGGCCTTTCTGTTGAGAAGGCATCCTGCTATTTTGGGGAAAAGCTTGGTCACAAGTCTGTCACAGTTTCCTTCAGCTGCTTTCAATTTTCCAAGGACACTTCATGCATTGGTTTGTTTAATTGAAGAGGTACTTAATTTAAAAGACAACCCAAACCCCTCCTGTGTCAATGGTCTAAATCAACATTTGGCATATGGCCCATGTGAAAACAGTGGAGACAGTTACAGCGGCAGGCACGTACGGGCTGTGCCTATATGGCTTTATGTGAGAGCACACCTCACCAAAGATGGCACAGTTTTAAACAGGAGGGATTAGCAATCCCCTTGAGGCAACATTAATAAACATCCATTTGCCCAGTTTACTACAGAGCAATTCAAATCTGACAGAGTGCAATGACTGTTTAAGATCTGAAGACATGTGTAGTGCTGCCACACACATACAGCCATGCTTTTATGTGCATTCAGTTTAAATTTGAAGACTTTTCCTCATCAAACACAACCACAACTTAAAAAACTTCTCAATACCTGTATCGGGTATGAAAAACACTCACCCTTTTCTGTATCTCTGGAGGAACGGCTATAGGAGGAGGTTATCCCCGTCAGACTGTTAGGCCTGTTGAGGGAGCTAGAACTGGAGGACGTGGTGCTAGAGTAGGAAGGGGTGGAGGCAGTGCTGACTGAGGAAATGGTGGAGGTGGAAGAAGATGAAGGCCTTGACCGCTGGGAGAGAGGAGGGTAAGATGAAGAGGTCAGGCTAGCTATAATATTTAAATTATTATTATAAAATATTGTGTCGTTTCAGTAATACATTATAACAATATAAACATTTAAAATATGTACCTCATCGTAGGTGCGGTACTTGTATCGGTAATCATCGTCCTTCGTCTCAGTCTCCTTCTTCTCCTCTTGCTTTTCCTTGTCCTGCTTCTCTTTCTCCTCCTTCTCCTCCTCCCGAGTCTTTGTGGTACGACTCCTGCCGATTGTTTTCTCAGCCTCTTGTAAATCAGTCAGAGTCACACCCTGAAAGAAGGAAAGTCTTTTTTAAATTTCTTTCTTGGATGATTTTTAAAAATTAAGTCTTATATTTGCAGATTCTATACATGCTGCAAAATTGGTAATTAATTAGTTCAAAAAAACAAAAAACTGGTCGACTGATCCAAGCAAAGTTTTCTTTTTAAAACAGGGACAAAGCTCACATTCTGTAAAATGAGCTCTTGGTACAAGAGCTGCCCTGTGTACACAAACAAAAAATAAAAGTCTGGGCTGTCTCAACAAGAATAACAAGTCTTATTTGAACAGTCTGTGGCCATAGAAATACAATACAAACCAGGAACATGCAGAGGTCATCATTTGTTAACGGTTTGTTTTGATGTGGGAATCCACCTTTATTTGGCTTATTAGCCGTTTGAGCAGTAGTGACTATTCTGATCATGTTAAAGCAGGTTTCCTACAACTGAAGACTCAGACCAACATTTAAGAACAAAAACTGATGGGGATTAAAAAAAAAAAAAGGTCAGATTAGAGACATAAGTTATGTTTTTGTGGTTTGGTTGAGGCTCTAGTTGTAGGTTAAATTAAACATGTTCCTATGAATACCAAATTCCCATTTTATTTACCCTTCCTACAGATAACATTATAAAAGAATGGTTTAAAGGCAGCATGTTATACTCATTTACTGGGTCTTAGTGCAGTTATATCACTGCATTTTTGCTCCCTTCCCCCTGCTGGTAAACCAACTTTCTTCTGGTTGGCTAGCCCTTGTAAGCACAAGGCTAGAACAGCAGGTGGGTTGAGTTCACAAACAGAGCTTTTTGAGATGGCCATATTAGGATATCTGCTCTTACTGACATCATACAGAGCCAAGGAGCAGTAAAAACACAGTTGAGCCTGACATTTTGGCTCACAGGGTTAAGGGTCATTAAAAGGAACATACACCTTTGCAAACATAAGAGATGAGGACTCAGCATATTTAAGGTGATGTGGTTTAACCAACCTGGGTGGACCTCCTTGACTGTCGAGCCTGTCTGGAGCGAGCTTTCCTCTGAGACTCCGACTCCTCATCTCGCTTTGGAGTCAAGTATGATCTGAAAGAGACACAAGCAAAATACACAAACACAGACACACAGAGGTTAAATATTTAGAGGAAGTAAAAAATAAAAAAAAGAAAAAAAGAAGAAAAAAAACCCCCACCTGAATGGGGAAGTTGTGAATCTACTTAAATATGCTTCGTACTTGCCCTCATGATATTGAGCTTTACCATTCATTAAAGAAACAGGGGTTACTAAATAGGCTCTCTAATCAGCAGAAATTGCATCCAAATTAGGGCTGAACGATATATCGCATTTGCGATAATATCGCGACATGATCAAGTGCAATTTTCTAACCGCAAAGGCTGCGATTATACTCTGGACATGTCCAAATTCATTGGCTGCATCCTCCTGAGGCCGCATTTGTAGACCGATTACGTCACAGCGACGCGCCGAAGGCTGTCCAAATTACTAACATATCACAGAATTCATAGCGCGGCCCAGCCAAACTCCAGTTTCCAACAATGGCGGCCGCTACTAAGTTTTAAAATTACTCATACTAATCTTTCTGGGTCACAAAATAAACTTTTAAAATATTTTCAGGCGAGAAAGTAGTTGTGTAAACATCAAATATCTGCTCGGTTTATCAAGATATCCCATATTTGCAAAAGTGCTTCGACGTTTTCAGAGGCGTCTGCTACCCACCAGCTCGACAGCTAGCCGGGAGCTCGAGGGTTACTGATGCGGCCGAGAACGGCACAACTCCCGGCACATCATTTTCAGATCACCGCGGAGTTTCGCTGCTCGGGTTAAACGTAATATATAAGTCACTTAGACAACCTAAAAATGTTATTGTTGGGCTTTTTTCAGTGTTTTGTTTGTTCGTGAGTAAATCGGTTTGGCTGAGATTAAAGTTATTAGATTAGATAAAATAAAACTTTATTAATCCCCCGGGTGGGTTCCTCCTTGGTTTTCACACAGCTGACTAAACGTCAAACAGAAAACTTGTTAAACAGAAGTATGAGACAGTCGAGAATTTACGCCAGTGTCTGGTTATATTTTAGATAGCAAGAAGCAGACGGCCGAGTTTATTAAACTCCACCGAGACAGCGGTGACGCTAATCAGAACTAGACCGTCCAATTTCTGTGTGTGTGTTTATACAATTGCTATTATGTTTGCACTTTATGTGTAATGTTACTGACTGCAGAGATCAGTAAGATGTGTGTATTTTTTATTTATTAGTTTTATTTATTTAATATTATTTTTTAATTGAATGACTGTCTAGTAGTTCACAGATGTCGAAAAACTGAGTGTGGTAAAGCCACTGATTTTGTTTATGTATATTTCTGCAATCTGCACATTGTACTGACTTTCATTTTAATGTTTACACCAGGGTTCCTTGTCAGCACTTTATGCTCAGATGTTTGTAAGCTAAAAATAAACTATTGTGTATGTTCAAATATACTGTTGTGATTGAAGAAGTTAAATAAAAATGTCAGTCATCAATTCATGCATCACCTCATGTCATCATAACAGAGGTCTGTCTTCCAGGAAAGAACAGTTTAAAATTAATGTAATATAGTATTGGCCATACTATGATGTATTGCTTGTCTTTGTTTAATAATACAGAAGACAAAGACCTTAAAAAATAATCGCATCGCAATCGCAATATTGGGGCCAAAAAAAAAATCGCAATTAGATTATTTTCCATAATCGTTCAGCCCTAATCCAAATGTACAGATTTGCTGATAAAGTATTAACATACCTGCTCACACAAATACATGGGGCATTTACAGGTGTAAACAAGACTTTAGCAGTGTTTTATTTCCACCTTAAAACAAGCTTGCAATGGAAATGCGGTTAAACTACATGTAAAGAGCCAGGCGTTGCTTTCATCTGACGTGTTTTCAGCTCTTATTTAGACTACACTGGACTAAATCATCATGCATGTGACACAGGTCAACCTGTTAATGTGATCCTGCTAACCTTCAAAGACGCAGTCACATCACAAAATCTAAATATAAAGATGGAGGTAAGACTGTCACTGTGCGCTGGGAAGTCCTAGAGTGAAGTGTTAAAGACAATTTAATACTTTGTATCAACTTAAAGTAGCAGGTTCTCTTTTTACTATGGGCTTGTTCAGTGTCAAGACTGGAACCCATTAATCCTCCTTACACATCCGTTTACCTCCACAATATTGCTGTGCTTGTGTTTTTACCTAATGGTACATTTCTTTTCTCTGGTAGTTTATTAAAAATGTTATTAACTGAGGAAGCAGTCAGCTGCAGTGTAGCTTGGCTGGAGTAAAGGACATCCATGCTTCACTTTCACAGGGGAAATTAAAAACAGCTATTGTAAAAATCACTGCTGTCTGCTAGATATATATTTGTAATATAGCAACAAAGAACAGATATGAGAAAGAGAGGGGAAAAAAAATCGGTCATTTTCCCTCTAAGCCAGGATTTTTAAAATAATGTCCTCCTCGTGTGTTATATTTGTAAAATGAGATAAACCTTTAGGTTTAAACGTTCCGGTACGCGAGCTTCATGCCCAAAAGGCAACACAATTTGGGAAATAAAACAGTAATCGCTCGTCTCAGGCTGAAACACGCTTCTATTGGCCACACAAAAGTATGAACTCATTCAGCCCAGAATGGGGTCTTGGCCTTGAGGAAAATGTGCTTCTTCTGCCCACGTTCCTTATAAGGAGAAGTCGCTGGAGCAGTTCAGGCTCTGAAGCAGCCCGGCCCCACTCCCACCGTGACAGGTGGCTTATTTCAGCGTTGCTACAGGAGGACATGCACTGGACCCCCACTCAAACATACACATGCAAGCACAAGCTCTCTGCTTTCTCACTCCCTCCCCAGAATGTCTGCACAGAGTCTAAGAGTGAACACAAACCTACAGAAATGGAAATGATGGTAGCTTTTCTTCATGAAATAAGTCTATGGAAATGCTGAAAGTCTCCTTACATTTAAACAGCACCATAAATTTGGTGGACAGATGTGATTGCGATAAAAAAAATTCACAAAGTTTAAAGAGCTAATAAAAACTAATGAAATCGATGTTTGAGTAGGTGTTTGGTTTACCTGCGTCTTTCGGTGCCAGTGCCAGTGGTAGTGGTGGTAGACGTGGTGGTCGTAGTAGAGCCAGTGTTTATAGTGGGGACGACAGCAGCCGACTCCTTCTCCTTCTCCCTCTCTGCACTCTCCTCTGACCAGTACCTGTTTATACACACATTTTAAACAGATTCCCTTTCAGCTGCTGTAATACAAATGCAACAATCCTAAGCCTGTATATACAATTCAGGGCCAATTACTATACATTTTCTTGCCTGCCAGATGATCGTGTCAGACCGTTTGTTATAAAACCACTTCGAGAGTTAGCTCACCATCTTTTTTTTAAGCACTACTCTCTGGCTTTTGGTATCCACCACTTATGCTGCTGAATTTTAACAAAATAAACAAAACCTAGTAACATGATAAAGTGTTTAAATTTCCACTACAGTAATAATACAGAAAATAAAGAGAATAAAGAGAAAAAAGGCAAACTGTTCAAACTTTGAGGAACTTCTGGAAATTGGTAAATTTATCATCATGGACATGGCTATCAACTAAATTAGAAGACAAACTATTATACAAATATAATACATGAATATGTGGTGAAACTGACCAGTATTACCGCTGCCTTCTAGCTTGTTTAAAGAAAGAGTGCATGACCTCAAATGATAACTGTATAGATTCATTCATTCATTCAGCTGCAGCTGAATTTCTCAACCTGAAAAGAAATAAATTGTACCTGCTGGTGAGACTGGTGGAGCCAGTGCGAGTGGAGGAGGAGCCCAGGCTTGAGTACAGGCCACGATGGCCCGTGGGCGAGGTAACAGATGAGGAGGTGGAGGTGGTCGTGGCGGAGGAAGTGGTCGAGGAGCCCAAGTCCTCGTGTCGTCTGCCGAATGAGCCGCTGTGGAATAAAGAATCATCGGCAAGATGGAATGAGATGCAAGTAGAGCTGTTTGATTGTGGCCAATCGTGGTTTCCACTTTTACTTTAATAATTAGGATGGAAGACATGAGTTTATCAATTTTGGTTTTTTTCCTTTTTCATTGCACTGTATAACAACTAGTGTCCAACTAGTTTACTACACTGCATTGATGGTGAAGGCACATTAGGTGGGAGCAGTGATTGTTGTTAAGAAGGGACAGATGATGATGTCTCACCATGGCATTTTTAGTTGCAGTGATGGCGCTACATCCAAACAAATTTTTGTTTTATATGACTTCTATGTTTCTATTTAATTAAATAAATAAAATCCCCTCTTACACGAGTGTTTTTAAACAGTTCCTGGGACATTCACACTTCATATGAATGTCTGGAGAAACTTCAGTGACCATTTACATACACGCAGGATGCCACTGATCCCAACAACAAACAGTTACTCACTTGAAGATGCTAATACGTTCTTCTCCTTGTACTGGAGTAATGCACAACTATAGGGTGGTAAATGTAGTCGATTACCATTAATCATGTTTTAAACCACAATTCTAACTGTACTGAAAGTTGTAACCAGCAGATAAATAAAAAGCCTTCCAACATTTAATATAACAGGGAACCCAAAACACAAGGTGGTCACTCCAGCCGAGCAGAGATGCAGAAAGTGAGAGAGGACAGGTGGTGCCTCGGTGAGGCTGGTGTACCTGCGGTAAATGCTGTAAGACGGGTAGTGGGAGGTGGGTGGCTGCCAAGGTTTAGTATTACAGGTGTTAGGGTCCAAGTTGGAGGTTGACGAAGACTTGGCTGGCACGTCCCGCGTGCTGCCGCTCCGCCCTAGCGCTAGCGTATGGGAAGTGCTAGCGTGTTGGCAGGCAAGTGGGCGAGAGAGGCATGTTAGCGGTGAAGGCGCACACATACAGACATATATACGCAGAGAACAAAGAAACATACATATTTAAGACTCTAAAGCTTTGACACACTGTTTGTGCATTCATCTCATTTGGGAGAAGGATGATACTTTGCTGTATTTAAAGAGTTAAAGGATGAGATACATCTAAAATCATCCAATTGTTGGGAGATCTTCACCATTTCCCCCCTTTTCAGAATTAGATTTGAGGATGTCTTGGTTGGAAACATCGAAACTCAGAAACGCAAGAAACAACAAGTTCCAAAGCAGCTTTTACAACTTGAAACTTGAGTGAGTTCATTAGTGGCTCACAGCCAGCATTTCTCCCATACGATATAAATGCAGCACAAGTCCATGTCCAAGTTCTGTGCCACAAACAACCCTGAGAATTTCTTATTTAATTGATTTATTAGATTGTTTGAGGCTTGTAAAATATCTCCGTGGCACAGCAACCTGACAGGACAAGTAGAGTCATGCAAAAGACTCTTTGGCGGTGACAGAGAGGCGCTGGGCTCATTTGCATGGCTTTCAGAGCAGCTGCTGCAAATGCAAGCATGTACATACACATCTCTGATGACATCACTAAAAGCAAATTTCCCTTCAGGTGACTGATAAATTCACTATTGATGATCTACACAGTTAATTTGGTTTCAAAGCTATGAAAGGCACCCGTATGATGGACACGACGAGATTGGGGTGGAAAGTTGTGGCAGAGGTTTGTACTACAGCCGAGGCTAACCTGCGCTGGTAGCTGGGGGTTCGGATGGTGGAGGCACTTCCTTCACTGTTCTTCAGGTCGTCATCCCAGCGTCGCCGGGTGTAGGAGCCGCTACGTATCAGAGCAGTGGAGTCCCTGGGAAACCACAAGCTAGAATCGTACCCCACGTTTCCACAGTAACATGTATACTAAAGGAATAGGTCTCCCATTTTTAAAAATCGTCCTTAATGTGTTTCTTGATTACTAAATCTATCACTGTACATTTAAAAAAAAAAAAAAAAAAAAAAAAAAGCAGCTGCTTAAGGCCACACCATGCACAGCATTGGGGCACCCAGCAGTTAGCAACAGGAGCCACACAATCCAATGCATGTTTGCACAGGGCCACGCGTCTCCAGGGATTCACCTGTTTTCCTTCTCGTCAATGTCCGAAGTACTGGCCAGTCTCCTGGGAATGGTTGGAGCCACATAGGCAAGCCGGGTTCCTTTATCCTTTTCCTGCAGGCAGCACAACAAGCAGGACATAGCTGTAAAGGAGCTGTGTAGTATTGCTACAAGAAAGCTCTGTTACCACAATAAAAAACAAAACCTTTTAATTAAGAATCATCTACGCAACCCCGCCTACTAAAAAAACCAAACCAAAACTGCTTCAATCCCTTCTGACCTTCTCCTTGTCTTTGTTGTCCAGAGATGTGGAAAGGCGAGGGCTCGAGGCCGAACGCATAACCCCAGTGGTATCCTTCTCCCTCTGTGCCTCCTTGGTGGCAGTGATCTCGGCCAGCGCTCCATAGCTGCCCGTCTTCCTCAAACCCAAACGCCAGGACGCTGGAGACTCATCCTTCCTCTCCTCCTCCACTTTAGTTGAGACCTTTCCAGCAGGCTGAGTGACCTGAGTGAGGAAAGGACAGCAGTCTAATTAAGACCTCGTTGACCATTTAGAAGGACAAAGATGTTTAGAGGTTTTTAGTTATCGTGGTAAGTAACGCAAAAGTCAAACAGGTTAAAAACAAGTCGGATTAATCCATAAGGGCTGCAAATTTTAGATTTTTTTTATTTCAGGTGGAAACTTTATTATTTTTAAAAACATGTCAGATGTGACACATGACCAGAATGCCTCTTCCTGACTTCAATACTCTGTAAAATACACTCCTGGTTATATGCCATTTTCAAAATATGATGACTTCAATAACTCTTACAGCCTGTGGAGGTTTTGTCTGAAAACAAAGTTTACAAGCAGCAGAAGTTACACAGACGTGAAATGAAAGCATGATCAAGACAGTGCATTTGGTGATTACAAGTGGAAACACCATGCTAGGGGGATAGGTGAAAAGCAGCTATTGGCAGCAATCAATCGCGATTTTGGTTTTTCCACTGCGCGTGGTTTGTCATGCCATGAACGTCCACGGTTAGGTAACTGTTTTCCCCCCATTGCACCACAGAGGAGGGGACAGGTACCAAAACTATTCCTGTTTGTTATTGCTGCACATTTTATCAGCCTGTGTATGAGGGGCAGAGGCTCATACGCTGCAGCACTGTCACCTGTGTAGCTTACTGCACGGACGAGCCCTACTCGATCTTCAGCTGATAATATAACGATGTTTGGAAACTAAACCACAGCTGTTATTTCACCACATTATGTCGGCAACTTTGTTAATTTTGGAAAATTTTAAACAACTTCTTAACAAGAAATCACAATAACTGCCTCTTTGTACTTATTGTGATACTAATTATGTAATCAAAATATGAGGATGAATCCTTAGTGCAGGTAAATTGCTAATTTGCTAGTTAACCTCTGTTTGTTCTGTGGTTTAAATGCATTTCCTACATTTTATTTCTTCACAATAAAAGCATCCTGTTCAATCACCAGTGGAAATTTTTTAATGTGAAGCATGAAATGTTCAGTTTATGCCGTTAAACTAGTGGAAAAACCCTATATCGCCTGGATCAGGTCAGAATGGTTAGGGGTGTTTAGTGCTTTATCAGTGCACAGGTGCATGTAGGATTACAGAACAACTCTGGTGCACACCAAGGCCTCACCATAAGTTTTTTGGGCACTAGAGAAATGCCAGTTTTGCGCAAACCTTGACGCCACAATGCAGGACAGCCTGGCTCCGCCACAGGCATGAGGGGAGTAATACATTCAAACTAAAGCCAACCAAGACAAGAGCCCAGGGTGAGAATGATGCAGAGAGAGAATGACAGAGGGAGGGAGGGCATGGAGGAACAGAGAGGTTGAGACAGAATAAGAGAAGCAGCAGCAAAAGAAACACACTTTATGAGCAAAGACAGGCATTTTAAAGCCTAGTCACACCACACAATGCTCACTGACATTAATGTTCTCAAAATAAGTGACAGATGCAAACACTGGAATTTGGACTTTGCTAACTTATTAGACAGAGGACATTGTGGTTTGAGTGAGAATCAGGCTTCAAATAAGGACAGGAACAAGAAGTTTATCTCAAGAGAAGAAGCAGAAAAAAGAAACCAAAAAGGCTCTAGATGGGTGTCTGGTGGTGAGACAACCTCCCTTTTTTTCAGGTTCATTCAAGGGCTAAAGTCAGGTTTGGAGGTGGCATCACATATCACAGACTTGGGTGCCTCAAATTTAAATTTTAAGAACGTCCCCTACATGTGCAACATGTTTGTTTCACACTTCGATCTTGCTTCCTTATCGTTTGCTTGCTTGTGTTTTTACAACTTTTGCTTTTCTGTTCTAATTTTTTTAACCTAGAACAAAGAACATGAAGCACTAATGACAAAAAAACAAAAAACAAACAAACAAAGTTCATGATTACATTACATATTTTTGTAAACACCAAATATTATATTTCACAATATTTTAAATGCGTTCAATTAAATCAAAGAGGAAAACCTGCCCTTGGGGAAACTCAGAGGGTTCACTTTAGAAAAAATGCTTGGCATTATTCTGCCAGCAGAGGGCAGCAGTTTCAAAAGTGGAACATGACTGTAATTCAAGGCCTAGTTTTACTTTTACCACCCAAATGCATTTGTCTGTACACTTTGCTCCAACCTTTAGAACAACCTACAACTATACTGCAGAATTTTCCAACCGTCCCTATCCTGTTGCCATGTTTGTTAAAAGCTACTTACATTTATGTTCTCATTCAAGCCAGACAGAGTTATTAATTTATATTACTCATTCATTTAAACTATAGAACTGTATATGCAAACACCTGACTGCAAAATCAGGTTTTTGTTGCAAAGGGAGAATAAGTAATCCCCATCCCCTTTCTCCAGACAGGGCAGGACGGCAAAGAGTTCCCCGGTCGTACCTTTTTAACTGGTGAAGTGGGGGTCGTCACCTGGTTAGTTGGGCTAGTTGGAGAGGACACCGTGACGCTGGTTGGTGTTGTGCTGTTGCTCACTGCTGCTGAGGGCTTGCTCTTTTCTGCTGAGGTTCCCAAAAAAAAAAAAAAAAAAAAAAAAAAAAGCAGACGAGAATAGTCACAATATGGTTTCTTGACATATTCTTGACATGCAGAATAAGTATAAAAGGCCCAGAAATTACAGAATAAAATTGGTACTTCATAATTAAAGTTTTGGCTCAAGACTTGAGCCAAAACACCACAAGTCTAACATAAAAATCATACAGTACCTGCTTCAGTCTCTGATTCTGAATCTTCTTCCTCCTCTTCTTCACTAGAGCAGCTTGATTCATCCTTCTTACCCTCCTCTTCTTCGTCCACTTTCTCTGGCTCTAAGGTCTCGATGCGAGGAGCGCTCTTCTCGGGCTCCAGAAGCAGCGTTTCTTTGCTAAAAAACACAAATGTAACACTGTTAGTATAGTACTGCAGCATCAGTAGAGAGTAGGGCTCACAGATAAGCAACGTGAACTAGATTTTTAGAGTTTTGAGTTTGGTAAACTGAAGACATTTTCCTTCACCCCTTGGCTTTAGACAGTTTGACTTTCTGGCCAATTGCAGGAAGAATAAGACGCTACTCTCATACATGAAAGCAAGAAAGAAAGAAAAAAAAAAACTTTAGAGAGAACACTTGACAAAGTGAGATTGTTCTCCTAAAGATATCGTCGTACCTTAGCTTTTTTGATTCAGTTAACCATTTCCATTCATTACTTCTCATTAGAAAGTTACCTCTTGATTGGCTTCAGTGATTGATTGTTGTCCCCAGTGGTGGTTGTTTCAATCAGAGGAGATTTCTTAACATCTTTCTTCTCACTTCTCAGCTGGAATTAAGATGATAACAAGACACTCATGAGTCCAGCACAGGAAATGAAATTATACTATAAAAATTAAGACATGTTTTCCCATCATGAGAAGGTTTCTTGGAATCTTTCAAGAATTTTGTTCAGATGCCAAAGTGACTCACCAGATTTTGTTTCTTCTGTAGTTCTTCTAAGTATCCCAGAACATCTTCATCTGCTACATCAAAAGCAGTCTGACCCTGAAGGGAAACACGTAAGAGTTAAAGACTGCACTTAACCTAATGACTGCTTCTAGTTCTAGTTCCTCACCATTTTATTTATGATGTCCATGTCACATAGATTCTCAACCAGTATCCTACAGGCCTCCTCTTTGCCCCAGTGTGCTGCTGCATGTAGAGGAGTCCAGCCATCATAGTCCTTAATATTTACATCATACCCTGCTTGGATTAAAAGCCTACAAGGAAGACACAGGGAGGGTGAATGTGTGGAGTGAATGACTGATTTCATTCTGTAAACTGATTTTTCAAAGTGTTGCTAGGCTTCGAGCTCTGTTGTGCGTCAGTATTGTAACCCCAGGTCACTTTTATGAGATACAGATTCCCCGAAAAAACAGAGACGTAATCTGAAAATCTTAGTCATCCCTTAGCAAAGCTCGGTGAGGCTAGCAAATATTTCAGCCAATAAATCTGCCACGACGGGGGAAACATTTGGATCTCTGTCCCGTGTACGGTAGTTGTGCTAAACATCAGAGATCTTAGAGCTATCTATGGCAGCAGAGTGTGCTGGCTGGCTTCCCAGACCAGATGGACAGGCCGTTGCGGTTTCTATCCTTGAGCAGTGCAACTGTATTAACAACCCACAGTGACAATGTCAGAACGAGGCAAGATGACAAGATGCAGAGACCGAGATATGTCTTGTATTACCGATGAGGCTAGGCATCACCACCGTCTTTACTATAAATAGTGTTCAAATAAAGTAACATACAGGAGACACTTTATGTACCAAAGTGTGCTCCAACTGTTTTACCGTCTCTGAGGGCTACTGCTTACTTTAAAACCTCGACGTATCCCTTCGCGGCGGCTACATGGAGCGCCGTTCCTCCAGATTTCGTATGCCGCACGTCTTGGATCTGGCCGCTGTTGAGCCACTGCCGGGCATCCCTCAGCATGATGCGCTCCTCCTCTTTCCGGGCTGCCTCGATATCAACCCCTGGAGAAATGGAGAAGCATGATAGTGTACAGACAGACACCCAGGGATTACCTGCTACTTAGGAACAAGCTGCCCGCTGCAGCAATGAACCTAGAGAGAGAACAAGACCCAATTAGATCAAGATATTTATGACTTCTACTTGTTTACATCCAGAGTAAGGTATGCAAATGTTTGGAACAGGTTGCATTAGTGACCTATTCATATTCTGTTGGAGGGGACGGGACCATTAGTAATAGCAGCTGTCTCTCTCGCAAGCTGCGCAGAATGCAAATGTTGAATATTTGTTCAATTCCGCGCCCCTTAATAGGGATAATGTAGCCAGTGTAATTCACAATAGCAAATACTGTGCGTCAAAGGGACCACAGCTGTGTAGCAAAGGTGCAGCTTTCACATTTCTCAGATTAGCCTACTCTAACTGATGAACATAAGCGACAAATATCAGCTGAAAAAGTTAAGGTATGAAGTCTGCCCGGTTGCTTTTATATTGAAAACATTTTAGAACAATATAGAAACAAATGTACCTATGCAGACACTTAAATCTCTTGTATTGGTTTGTCCTTTTGAGGACCTAATGTAATATCTGAATGGCTTGGCCTGAATGAACTTTTCACCAAGTTTGCCAGCACTGCTCTAGATTACAGCCAAGACAAAACAAAATATTTCAGCTCTGATGAATGAGATGAATTTTTAGGTATTTTCAAACTGCACTTTTATCAAGCCAGGCACTGTTGCATTTCATTGTTAGAAACTTTCTATGGAGGGAACTAGACACAACATGGTTCTGCCATGCTCTGGTGTCAGCCATTTCATCTGCTCTAGGGAACAGCTTTGTGCCAATAATCTGTCAATGTAACAATACAACGGCGGCTGCGAACACTCCAGCCGGTAAGTGGCTCAATATGTTGAAGCTATATGCTGCATGCAGAGCAGCCTGTATTGACACGCCTGTACTGTCTTGATGACACCTGGTTGGAGTGCAAGACTGTCTGAAATGCTCTGCTGCACGATCTGAGAGAGATAAGTACAATGAACTGTATAAACAATGATCCAAAAAAGGGTCTGGGGCAGAAGCCAAAACTTCAGCTGGTCTTCTAGGATTTTGTTCTGCACTCAGGGAAACATCACCACTCATTTCCTGACAGCGTAGAATGATTTAAGACCTCAAGCTTTTTAAAGCAATGAAAGGACATCTGTGTCTGCAAATCTGCCATGAGGAAAGGGCAGTCAGGGGAAAAGTCTACGTTTACCCAGAGGTTTAGCTTCAGCTAGCTGGAGAGGAGCATGAGAAGGACATTTGTTTCCTAAACAAAGTTCGCCAGACACAGACACAGTGAATTGGTTTCCACTCTTTCAGGTTTCTGATAATGGGTCAATGAGTATTAAATATCATAGAAAAAAAAAGAAAAAGAAAGAAAGAAAAGAAATTAACCCACACTCAACACAAGCTGAAACAAGAGCGGTCCAAGACTGCGTGTTTCCAAGCCTAAGGCTGAATATTTACTTCACACAATACTGGACATGTGAATCTCCGAGATATTTAAAGCTCATTGTTAGTGGTTTAATGTCGTTTCCCTGAGTACAACTGCTCGTTTCACGCTAATAAAAATGAAACTTAAACAGGAACATTGAGAACAAAAACTATTTTTAGTATAAATTTCATATTTTCCATAATTACAACATATGGGGTCTTTGGATTATAATATTTGTTGCAAACACACACTTTGGAAAGGCGACTGACTCATTTATGTCGACATCAGAGGCTCAGACTACATATATGCACAAACATCTCCTCGTGCCAAATGTGTTGACAAATTTTACCATACTGACAAAGACTTAATGTAAATCACATTCTGCAGAAGTTCTAACAACCCTCCCACATCTGGATTATTAAGAGCAACATTTTTTTGCATTTTAATTTCCTAAGATTTTGTAAAGGTATGAGACAAAATGCCCAATACATCTTGCACCTGGGAAAGAATTATTCCAAAAATCCAAGTGGTTAATGACACATTGAGCAAGTTGCTCACCCTGCATCGCTTTGAAAACGATGGCTGGTCGCTGGTGGACATTTAAGGCCCTGGTTGTCTAGGTTACACTCTAATGTGTTTTCTAATCTGTGATGTGTCAATCACCAGTATCGTGCACTCTCATTGATAGTCCCTTCAATCTCTCACCGCAAAGTTTATCACGGGATCTGCTCACTCTACATTGTCAGTGCTTTTCTTTCTGGCCTAACTTCATGTCAGTAACTTTCTATGATCTTTGGCCACAAAGTCATTGTGGATTGCTTACCTTGTAGACGCAGCTAAAATGTGCATGCAAATCTGTCCGTATCTTTTTCAGTAATCTTAAATGTACCACAGAAAACCACCATGGCACAGATAATTATGTTGCACATTGAGAGGATTAGTAAGCTAAATTCTAAGAAAGTGAAACTAAACAGGAAGAAAGTGGATTTCAAAGTTTTATGTCAAAGAGAGCAGCTTTGGGACAAAGACTGGGCCTGTTGACTCACTGTCGTTGTGTCCTTCTCTGACCTGACAGTTCTAATAAAATGCTGTCACGGTTTTTACTCTTTAAATAAATATCAGCCCTTTAACATTGATTGTCAAAAGAAAAACGCACTACAACAGTGCATAACTTTCCAGGCAATTTTATGAGTGCGTTTAATATCTACCTGGAAGTGTCCTGAACCAAGAAGGTAACATTAATCAGACTTTGCTTTTTCCAGTGTTTGGAACAAATCTAAACCTCAGTAGGTTGGTTTGGTCAATGAAGAGGTGAACCAACTGAGGCTTGGGAACTGATGGTGGTCCTATGGCCTACCAGGGAAGTTCAATCAAGTTGATTAAGTATGACTTATTTATGGAAAACGAAGAAAACAGGAGTTATTAATTAGTGATTGAAAAAAAAAAAATCCTTCTGAAAAGAAAAAAAGGTCCAAAAACCACTGTGTTAATCTTGGGAATTGGGACAGGTCAGGCGAAGCAACCACCCATAATCTCCAGGGAAGGAGCCGGCACTGTGTCTATAAAAAGCAGGGAGTAAAATGGCCAAGTAGGACTACAGAACAAGAGGCGAGTGGAAGAGTTGGCAGCAGTTCAACTTTGAGTTTTTACAAGGGAACAGCACATCTTCTACCTGAGCAAAAAGAAGATAAAGAGAAAGTCCACTACACCAAAAAAGGCATCGTGTCCCACTTTGCCCCGTTACCACTTGACCAAGAGTTTGTGTGGTGAACCCAAAAAGAAAAACTTTACAGAAGCCCACACCGAAGCAACCAAAAACCCAACAAGTAAACAAGTAAAGACAAGTCAAAAGAAATCAGGCTACATTTTCATCTGAAGAAAAGCTGCTGCCAGCTAAATCCACATTCCTCCCTTCTTATGCTAACAGGACCTTCAATCAATTGTGAGGCTGTCCACTTTCAGTCCATTACAAGGACAGGCAGCAGCTTGCTTGCTGTGGCTGATGGAGAACACAAGGAAGATGGCAGCGCACGTAAATCATTGGCCCAATCAGGGTCAAGGAGAGCATGGAAGGGTTGTCCCTGTAAAGGCGAAACTACGGTCAATCGCTAACAAGTTTAACCTCATGACTGGCATCTCTTTGCGAGGAGAAAAATCACATTACAAACATACAGAAGCGTTACACAACAGCTGGTTGCATAATGCTGCCCGCCCTACCTCTAGCATAAAGGGCTGAGCTGTGGATTGTCTGCAGCTGCCTTCAGCTTTGCAAATTCACTTTGCAGCTGAGTTTTAATCTTGCAAGCACTTTATGCAAGACAGTGTTTATAATTAAATTCATAATATCCACATACTGAAAATGTATTCAGTAATCTGGTTTAAAAAAAAAAAAAGGAAGAAAAAAGACTGAAATGTGCAATGATTGTGGGGGAAGCAGTGTGAGGATGAACCAGGCAATGCATCCATCATCCATCGGGCAAATCAAAACTGACAGCAGCCACTGGCCAAGACACCTGAGGACTGTGTGGGCGCAAACTCCCCTGACATTACATAATATGGCGCAAACAGTGCTCTAGGTTCAATTATCACTGGATGCAACAAGCTCTCAAATATTTGAATCCTGAATTAAAGAGAACAGAGATTGACAGCTCAGAAAGCCTTTTATCAACAGACTGTTATAGGGGCAACTTAACACCTGAAATTTGTGCAATTCTATGCACTTGCAGAATCTGACTACCTGTGTAAGGTTTCAACTTTGAACCTCAGTGCAAACTATTAACTAAAGTGGTCCAAGACTACATACGTCCTCCAAGACTAAAAATTTACTCCACAGCATGCATGAGTTCAGTCCCTGGATCAAGAAGGGTGTATATAGGCAGATTTATTTTAGACATTTTCTTGAGAATACACCCACCAGTATTATTAACATGTATGCTAAACCTTCCTTTAATAACTTTAAAGGTTAGTCCTTTCTAAGTTGGATCAAGCACCACCTTTAGTAAAATATAAAAATACATAATATTCATGCACCTTAACCACAATGTGTACCTAAGAGAACAGCAAGCTAGCCAGGCTTTATTAGTGAAGCCGAGGAGCACCCCCCTCTGGCTTCAGGCCAGTTAGCACGTCTGTGCATGGCCCCTCACCACAGGGAAGGGCCTTTCATCAAGAGCGCCCCGACCAAAAATAGTAACACCTGACGTTTTGCTTTTGAATCATCACGAGTGCTCATAACACAAGTGGATCACAATTCTATATTATGTAAGTTTTTCAGTCAAACAGGCAAGTGGAAAACAGCGGGCGACTGACACCCAGTGAGAATTCAGATCCTATTTGAAAACATACTCATACATGCATGAATACAAATGGGGCCCCTGGCTGCTATGTTACCTTCAGCATGTCACATGATTAAGTTGGAACAAACAACAGTGCTCAAATATGAGGCACTTACAGTGTGCAGACACTAAACTACAGCAACCAAAAGCTCAACACCCATCTGTCTCCATTTCTTTCTTTCTTTCACATTTGGGTCCTGCGCTGCACCATCAATCACTACAATCACGGAAACATTACAAACTGTTGGCTGATTTATTTGTCATGGCTGGAGACTGGAGGTGCAGGTATTCTGGTGGAGTTTTTACCTGGAGACAAAACTCATCTGTGTAAAGTCTGCCACAAATTTTGATGGACATTATTATTAACAAACCATATGTTGACTTTGCTTAAAAACAGTGGTGAAAGGAGGTGCAAAGCCTTGTCCTCTAACCCAAAAGATTGACTACAGAATTGTTCAGGCCTTATCAAGTGGCCTGCTAAGGGCTAAATTAATCTCTATAGCTCTGTGCCAGATAATTAATATTTGCCAAGAGACACTAAAAGCAGATTATCCAGTTTTGGTTGTTTGCTTTTGTTTTATTTACGTGGGGTGTGGGATAGTAAGATTAGAGCTACTGTAGACCGAAAACAAAAGGACTTATTGTAAACCTATATAAAAGGGTTCACTTCTGCATAAATAATATTACTACAAACTAGGAGAGCAAAGTTCAACATTACTGTAATACTGTACCTTGCCGGTTGATCTCATTCTGCAGGAGCTCCTCCATTGCCTCCTCTTCGGCAATGTCCAGAGGCGTCTCGCCCTCACTGTTTACAACTCCTACACTGGCACCCTGGCTGATGAGATACCTACAAAACAAAACATCACAAAAACAAACAAAAAAACACCACAAAAAGAGTTAAACTAGTGGCAACAGAATATTTTTCAGAGCAATCTTTAAACTGCAAGTATCAGCTGTATTAAAGGTTGCGGTCAACTTTAGCTCTCAAGGGTTTGAAAATAGGCTAAAGGCAAAAGTGCCCTCCTTGAACAAATGAGTAAACTGTTCAAAATGAGACGTGCAATGTTTTTCTTGGTTCTGTGCCAACATTAGCCAATAGCTACACCACAACCTGTGTCTCCAGTTTAGACAGTCATGACCTTCACATCATGGTGTGTTTAAACTGTATTGGGTCCTCTTCCGGCTATGTAAACACTGAACATACCACACCTAAGAAGCTAAGAAAGTAGTGATGGCGAGGAGTGGCAAAACCCCAGTCCATGTGTAGTAACAATTAAATCTGCAAAATAACTGGTCAATGATGACGAAGCATTTCCACTCTGAGAAGGCAGTTCTTCACCAGGAGCAACGGATCTGCTGGAAGACACCTCGACAAGATTCCCTGAACCGAAGCATCCCCACAGTATAATACTGCCACCATCATTTTTCACTGATGGGACTGTGTTCTTTGGGCCGTACGCCTCCCTCTTCTTTCTCCCAACATAAGCAGCATCTCTGAGCTCTAGTATCATCTCAAAGGACACGCTTCAAGCAGATATGTTTCTCCAGGAAGATCAAGGTTTGGGCCATGAAACCTTCTATAAAGAACACAATTTAACACTGCATTCATGTCTACTTTGTTACATTTTAAATACTACTCTCAATAGTCACTCAAAATATGTTAACCAGTCTACATCTTGAGTTCAGCTGCCTCAAATTAAAACTGCGGCACAATTCAAGGCCTTCTCATTAGACTTTAAACACGCACAATCCAATTCCCACCCCCCTGAAATAGCAACTACTGACTTACTACACAGTTACATTTCAAGGTTTTTATCTCTTTTTGATTGCACTTTCTATTCTGCCTATTTTAGCTTGGCTTTACTAGTTTTCCTGGCTTTGCGGTCTGGAGCTTTTGAACCAAGCCTACAATTAGAAGGCTGTGATCACTTCTAGGGACAGATCCAGCCCTGCTTTGCAGTTCCCGCTGTTGTCAATGAAGATCCTGGGATTAAAATGGGTCTACTGAGAGCTCACCGCCCACATCAGGTTGTCGAGTTTCTCTCCGTGACATGATGTCTCCATTAGTCACCAGTATGAGGATCGGCACTTGACCTTTTGCTTCAAAATGCGACAACAGAAAGCTTCTTGTTTTCTGTGCTGATGTCAAGTTCAGGCCAGCTGAATGCAGATTTTGCTGCTCTGAGAAGACCATTTGGGCAGTTCAGTTAAATGGCTAATGTAAGATGTTTTTCCTCTGATGGCTGTTTGTAAACTTTGGGAAAAACACCAGCAGTGAGGAATACATTCTTAGCCAGGTTCCTGTAATGCAACACAAATAAAGCAGGTCATAGCACTCTCTCAATAAGCTGAACAATGAGCACGACTGAGCTCCATCAGCCCCCTTTAGCTAGTTTAAATATCCTATGATAACATCTCTGCCCTATGGGCAGTCTTCTCAGTTGAAGAAAAAAAAAACACTATGAGCAAGAAAATGCTTGAGTGAAACTTCAGAGCTTGATTCCAGATACAGCAGGTGACCCTGATCTCTCCATATTTGATTACATCACAGATGTACACTCATAACAATGTGCAAGTTATCAGATGGGCTGCCGCTGCTGTCCAAATGTGATGAGAATTGTTGTACAGGCTATGATTGGTTCTTGGCATTTTGATTCTGGCACACCTTATGAAATGGCATCATGGGTCAACAACCCCCCAAGGAGATTTTAACCAGAGCCAAAAATAATAATAATAATAATACTAAAAAAAATATAAATAAATGACAATCATTGTAATAAAGATGATTTTATTTTTGGTTCACTTTAGAGGTTTCAGTCAAACAACTGACATGCAATGTGCTTATGGGTGTATTCAACCCCTGAGTGAGGAAAACCCCTGAATCTGTACAGCAAATGATACCCTTTGTCTGCAGGTGCAGCTCAGATAAAGAAAACTCTCCATCAGCTTAAAGGACTGCCAAATATTAGTCAACACAGTGTCAGATATAACAACAGAAAGGCACACATGCAATGTTAAGTGAACCCTTTTTGAGTTTCCTTAACGTCTGTCACATATATACTCTGGGACAATATTTGATGCTCATATTAAACCTTGTCACAGTTTCCAGTAACGAGATGAGGATGTGCACAAGTATATCATGCAAACTAAAAGCTCTGGTTTCAGACTGCTCTAAACACTGTCAGGGAATATTTTTTGCTCTTGGTGTTAACGTAATCAGATATCACTTATATTATCTCATGCTGTATCCAGCTGTACAGAGACGATGCATGATAAGAAAACTGCTAGGCCAGCCCTAAAGTCACTTTGTGCCTCACAGTCCAGAAATGTTAACGAAAACTTTGCACAAAAGGTTCAGGGAGGAGTTTAGCAGTTACAAAATATCTGCAGCACAAAACAAAACAGGAAGTGAGGATGAGTCGGCAGAAATCAAACCTGATGAAATAGATACTAGCGCCAAAAGGGCCTCTTGATACTCACTCTGCTATGTCTAGGTATCCACAGGAAGCTGCAGCGTGGAGTGGGATCCAGCCCTCGTTATCAGGCTGGTTGATGCAGGCTCCATGCTCCACCAGGAAAGTCACCATGTCGACATTGTCATCTATGCATGCCTGAGACAGGGGAGAAAACGAGTAAGGCCACAACTTCTTGACTGTGTTGAACTAAGTGCACTTGGGTACATGCACACATGCTTGAGTGCTTATGTCAGTGGGGTGGCCTGTGCTCTAGTTGCATCTCTCATGGAAAGGGCATTACACCCCCGATTGGTTGCCATGTGCATTGCTGGGAGATTTTGGCAGCTGAAGCATTCTCAAAACATTCGCACATAGCAGGGGTGCTAGAAATACCACATAGCATAGTACTGCTGACAGAGGCACTGGGGTGCTGTGCATACATTTGCTGCTACTTTATCCTGAGAGTTATATAGTGTAGAAATGCAAAACCTGAAAAAAAGGTTAGCTGTGCTATACATCTTCAAGTACAGAACTGTCAAAAAATAAATAAATAAAAAAAAATTGGATTTTGAATGCATAAACTATTTAATTATCATTATTTGCAGTAATAATACAGAGACACCAGCTGTGCTTTGTTGCTCTAAACCTCAACTTGACAAACTGCAGTGCCCACATATTCCCACCTCCTCCCACTTACAGTGCTATCACCACCTTCATGTCAGTCTTGTTTTTATGACAAATAAACAGGGCCTTGAGAAAAAAAATAAAAAGGCATTCATTTAATTTTTTGAAAGCCCTGTTTTTGCAGCGTCTAAAGTTAGAAAGTTTAGTATTGTGACAAATCAGTAAGTCTCAGTAATTGAAACCACAAAAACTACACATGCACAAACACAAAGTACATTCTCTTCATACTCAAATTCAAATTTTATTTGTCTCACACACACACTCACACACACACTCACACACACACACACACACACACACGAAATGCTTGTAGCTGTACAATGCCCAACCATTAAATGACAGAAGAAAAGTTTTACAATATTTACAATTTACTACAAAAATTTACAAATTAACTTAGGAATTTACAGTAAAGAATGTGCAAATAGCAGAAGAGATTATAAAGATAAGGATTATAAATTATAGGAATTATAGGATTATAGGAAATGTGCGGTGGTGCGTGTGGTGACGTGTGTGAGAGTCCAGTCTTATAGTGACGTGTTTGGGAGAGTCCAGTCCTACACCTGGTTCAGGGCCCGAATAGCCTGGGGGAAGAAGCTCCTCCTCATTCTCTCTGTTTTGGCCTTAAGGGAGCGGAAGCGCTTCCCAAACCTCAACAGTGAGAAGAGTCCATTGTTGGGATGGGAGAGGTCCATCATAATCTTCCTAGCTTTGGACTTGCACCGCTTGGTGTAGATGGACAGCAGGTCAGGGAGCTCTGATTGAATGATGCGTTCTGCCGAGCGCACCACCCTTTGCAGATCTCGTCTGTCCTGCTTGGTGCTGTTCCCAAACCAGGTGCAGATGTTTGACGTCAGGACGCTCTCGATGGTGCAGGAGTAGAAGTTCTTGAGCACCTTTAGTGGCAGATGGAAGTCTAAGTCTTCTGAGGAAGAAGAGACGCTGACGGGCTTTCTTAACCAGGGTGTTGATGTGACAGGACCATGACAGGTCCTGAGTGATGTGGACACCCAGGTATCGGAAACTGTCCACTCTCTCCACTGGCGTGCCACTGATGAGGGGTTTGTAATACTAAGAAGATGAAGAATTCTTCAAATCAACATCTGTGTGGAAAGAAAATTTAATGCCTCTAATTGCCAGCACTCAATCCAATCATTAGGGTTTTGCCATTCTTTAGTGCTGGTGACAGACAGGATGCCTGTTTCTTGTTTACAGACAGGAGGGAGGATGTCCTTAACAGGTATGCAAGTTGGGGTGAGGGGAAATTGGAGAACCCAACAAGTAAAACCAGAAGGATTTCACATTAAAAGAACTCTGTTCCGCTCAGAGGCCGAGCTTAGAACAGACTTTCTAGGCTGGGTGAAGATACCAGAGGGAGACTGTGCACAAACCCATCCTAAATATAGTTTGACTCTGAACATCAAAAGACCACAAACACTCCAAATGAAGCATATTACTGTGCAGCACACAAGGAGACCACCCACTAAAATAGGAGGACAAAGAACATATTACAGAGTGTCCCTAAACAAGATCAGGAGCACAAAGACTGCTTTAGAATTTATATGAGCGGCTTTGCAGTTAGTGTTCATCATAGACCAGTATGATGCTTCTACAGCAGTGATAATATTGAACCTCTCTCTGGAAGGCCCCACCAAACTAAACTACCCAAATGACACAATTAAAATGACAGTAACACAGAGGAGATTAATTTAAGATCCTCTGACTCATGAAGTGGGAGGTGTAGTGACTTTGCTTAGATTATGAAGGCAAACTTGCACCATGATAGGAACAAATTTGCATTTTCTATTTGTTAGTCAAGTACTCATTTTATGTAGAAAAGGAAATTTACATTTCTGAAAGCCGAATTTCCTTTTCATTAGAAGGGAAACTACTGTTTAAGGCCTGCCAATTTTATTCTGCATCCATGATAGCTTTCACGAGTTTTCTAAGCAGTAAAATACTGCTCATTTTGTTTGTTTTCTTGTGAATTTCAGAACTCGCATTTGTTCACTGCCCTTCCAGGGGTGCATGCTAGAAGCATGAGTGTTTAAATCCACAACCACATGTAATTTTCATTATGCTAATGCATCTTCCTTGCTTCCTTCATTTTGCATCTCTTCCTTACATCTGAGATCCTTAAGAGCTGGAACTGAAAATTTCAAACTATTGCCTCCTTATTGCCCATTTACAGTAACATCAGTTACACACACATATTAACTGAATTATTACTGTCGCTGTGTATATTCATTCAAGTTTCCCCCTTTTCAAACTCATTTAAGTATGGTCCAAGCTCTACAAGGAGTTGTTTTGCTTTTTTTGCTTTCTCGGCATGTTTAAGTACCAAAATAATAGATTTTTTAGGCCATAACCTAAATATTATAAATTGTGTACAATTCATTTATCAAAAGGCTGAGAGAGGAAAAAGAAGCTGTCGAAGTCCAAATCAGGAAGTTAATAAAAGCAGAAGAAAAGAGTATAAAGTGCACTTTTCATTCAGTGCACACAAAGGGCCTGAGGTTAAATAATGTCTCACATCAAACATGAGGTGACATGTAAAGCAGGGGTCATAAATAAAGTCATGAAGTTGGAGTGCAAAAAAGTAAAAATAAAAAATGTAGCTGTAGATTTCCTAACAAAATGCTCAACTGTTAAATGATTGTAGTAAATACTTGAGATAAACACTTGAAATCCACAATTACCACTTGCGCAATATATTAAAGAAATTTATATATTAAAAAAAAACAAAACCAAACAAAAACCTCAAACTCATATTTGAACACAGCCAGGCCATCTCCTGTAGTTGCTATGGCAACAAATGTGTGGACAGGGGAAACAGACACATGAACACACGGCGTCCTCACGTTCAGGGCAAACTGCTATCTGGCTGGAATCCTTGTCCAAATTTGGGCCGTTTACAGCACCAGAGCTACAGAGTGCCTGCAGAGGCCTCCCTGAGCTTACTGACCGTGTGAATGAGCGTTTGTGTATGATGATGTCGTAGGGTTTAATGCCCCACCGAGTCCCTGAAGCTGCAAATGGACTTTGATTTAAAGAGATCAACAACAACCAAGGCTGTAACTCCCATCATTAGTACAACAGGTTTATTAGTTTGATGCCATCATCATGGGAGAATTATGTGCCCCTCTGTGTCAACACAAAGCACTGTGTGGTCCCTACGCAGGAGCTGCACTGGCAAAACTGATCAAAAAACATAAACATAAAAAAATAATTTAAAAAATCAAAACCACATATACCATATCCTGTTCATTTCAACGACATACTGCTTGTATAGGTAAATACATCTCAACATAAATATCCTTCATTTAGTTTAGGTTATACAGAATGGGTAATACCACAAATTGTTTTGTTATTCCAGGAAACAATTTACTCCCTAATAGACCAAAGCATGTGCAGTTTTTCTTTATTTTTAACGAACTAAGCTATAATCAATAAGGTAGCTAATGCATGCATTAAGGCTGATATGAAACAAGGTGTCCACTACACATACTGAGGCAAATGGTAAATGGATAGGTACACTTGATCCACTGATTGAACCACTGACTTCCTTTGCCATAGCCACCACTAAAAAAGGACTCAAAGAATTCACATCAGTAGTGCAACATCTATAATAAAAATTGTACAAATAATGCTACCAGTCAAAATTAACTTAACCGTAACAATTCCTTATTAAGGTAAACATTAAATAGACCATTTTCCTTAACTAGACTGAATGATGTCTGATATAAAGCATTGATGACACATGCTTTTACACAGCTACAGAGCCTCAAACTGGAGAAACACTGTCGAGTCATGACCCAAGGCACAAAAGCACACACAGGAGCTAGTGTTGACATTTAGAAAACAGACCAGTGGGGGAGGAGAGAAGACAATTAGGAACTAATTCCTCAACAAGCTTTACTCGAAGTAACAACATCTTAGCTGCACCTCTGTAAGTGACTCAGTCTTAACTTTTGTTTGGGTTTGTTCTCTCCCGAGAGAAGTAGCTGCAGCACCCAAAAAGTGAATACCTTTAACAGCAGTCAGCCCTTCTTTACTCATCCATAAAACGTGAGCTAAGCTAACCTCTGGCTGCGCAAACTACTTCACTATCAAAAAATGTTTTAAAAAAAAAAAAAAAAAAACACAAAACAAAAAAAACAACTGCTCGCAACTACTGATTGGTCTGTATTACCTAAAGTTATTGAAATTTACGCATTTTACTGTTTTATTGACCCGATTAAAAGATATTAAGTAAAAGTAAATTAAACCCTGCTTTAAAAAAAATGAAAAGAAAAATAAGATTAGAAAAAGAAAAAGGATAAGCATTTCTATCAAAATCTTGTGATCTTACTTTTGGGGAAGGCAGAAAACCTCAGTGTCAGTTTTGTATATGCACGCAATAATACTAATCAGCACAGACAGAAAGCAAATAGACACTGCTCCCATATTTTTCCCCTATAAGGAGGACCAGCTGT